AGCACACATGGTGCATTGCGGCCGGCGTCGCCACCCAGTCCAGCGCGGCGGGGCGGCAGCAGCGGGAGGGACACCCGAGGAGAATGAATGGGAGACAGAGTTTGCATTGGATGGGGTCGCAAACATTCACCGTTTGACAATGAGGCAAGACGATCAAATCCATGACTTGAATATCGCTTTAATTGCAAATAAGGAACGCATTATAGCGAGAGTAAGGCAACAGCTGTTAAAACTTAAAGGACTCAAGTTTTGGTTGACAGTGCGGGTGGGTGCATCCCGCGAGACAAAGGACGGGATAGAAGAAGATGAAAAATTTTTGCGTTCGCAAAACCACATCGTTCTACCAGCCCACACATGTGAAGCAGAGGTAGAGAAATGCATTTTGGAAATTATCGATGCGAGCGACAACTTGAAACTGCAAGGTTCATCATGGCAGATAACCGAAGTATTTTTTATAGAAGTATCAATGGCCAAGTACAGCCCCATGAGAGGATCCAGCTACATTCGGCTACCTCCCGTTCTCGCAAACGCAAGAATGGGTATCATCAACATTCAGAATAAAAATGACAATGAATGTTTTCGATGGTGCTGTCTCGCCGCAAAATATCCGTGTGACCGTCCACACCCAGAGAGGGTTACTCACTATGAAGATTATTATGACACACTCAATTTTGGCAGAATGGAATCAGCGGATTTTAAGATTGATAATATTGCTAGATTTGAAAAAATTAATCCAGAATTTTCGTTTAGTGTAGTCACATGCAACAGAGACAAAGTTTTTCACCCCTTGTATGCCAGCTATGAAAAGAGTGAGATACACGTTTGCTTGTTATACTTTTCAGACACTAAAGGGTTAAAGTACCACTACGCCCTAGTGACAGATATGGACCAAATGTTGTATAGCGCGGTACCCGTGCTCGCTCGTGGACGCAGACATTTCTGTCGCTTTTGCTTCTTTTCTCTTCCGAGTGCGGATGCGAGAGACGAGCACGGAGTGACGTGCAGACAATTCGGGGTGCAAAAAACTAAAATTCCCGAGCCAGGTTCAACCATATCATTTGACACAAAATTTTATGGTTATTGCGAGCGGCAAGAGTTTACATTGGTCTTCGATTTTGAAACGTACATGAAACCCGTCGAAATAGATGAAGGCAAGAAAACCAGAAAAATAAGTGAGCACATCCCATTTTTGTACACAATCATTGTCATTGACCACTTAGGCAACCGAGTGCTCGGCCCGATTGTGCATGCAAATGATGGAGGGGTTGCAGAGCACTTTATTACAAAGGTGTTGGAAATTGAAAATGAATTGTTCACGAGGCACAGAAAGGATTTTCCAAAGCACATGAGCTATGAACAATGGGAAGAATATGATCGAACCACATCATGCCATTTATGCGGGAAAAAGTTTACCAGCCATGCCGAAAAGGTGCCGGACCACTGCCACCTGACTCCCACATTCAACTACAGAAACGCATTACATGCGACACCTTGCAACGCGCTCCGCCGCCGCACACACCGATTGGTCGCAGTGGCACACAATAGCAACCGGTATGATAGCTGTATAGTCATGAAGGCGGCCGTGAACCACCCGGCATTGCAAGACAAAGACATAAAAGTTATTCCAAAAACAAAATCTCACTATTTGTCATTCCGTATCAACTTGGGGGAGAAGGGGCGAGCCATCGTATTCATTGATTCCTTTCGGCATTTGATGAGTGGGCTGGATACCCTTGTCAATGGATTACTACCCTCCGACAAAATTGTGCTGAATAAAACTTTCCCTGTACCACACAAAAGAGATTTGGTGGCATCCAAGGGAGTTTACTATTATGACTACATTACAGAGTATGATCAGTTGTATGAAACACAACTACCACCCAAAGAAGAATTTTATAGCAGAGTGAAAGGTGAGGGTATTTCGGATGAAATGTACGCCCACGCTCAAAAAGTATTTCAGACTTTTGAGTGCCCAAATCTGCTTATTTATGCTATTATTTATTGCGTATGCGATTGTGCATTACTTTGTGATGTCATAAGTTCATACCGCAGAACGACATGGGAGACGTTCGGATTGGAGGCGATGCGCTTCGTATCCGGTGCCAGCCTTAGTTGGGCGTGCGCACTAAAGAAGACAAGAGCAGAAATTTCATTGATTTCTGACGCATCCCACTTTAATTTCTGCGAAATGGGCATTAGGGGTGGGCAGAGTGTGATAAGCACGAGGTTCGCCCAAGCGAACCATGAGGAATGTGAAAATTATGACCCCAACGCTCCCAAATCTTGGATTTCCTTGTACGACGCTACAGCGCTCTACGGGGGGACGATGACCAAATCTCTACCCATTGGCGAGTTCCAGTGGGTGGGGCCGGAAGAATATGACCCATTGAAAGGGAGTGAAGAAGATGAATATGCCTATATATGGATGGTGGACACGGAATACCCTGAAGAATTACACGCTGCTCATCGCGATTTTCCAGCGATGCCAGAAAGGATGAAAATATCGCAAGATATGTTGTCGCCCTTGCAGCATAGACTTTTGGAGGCAAGCGGTAGAAGAATGCCTGCCAATGATGTCAGATTGGTGAGTCATTTGGGCCCCCGCCACAAGTATGTATGCCATTCACTCATATTGAAACAATACCTTGAAATGGGTATTATTGTCACCCGGGTGCACAAAGGATTAAAGTTCCGGCAGGCCCCATATTTGAAGCCATATTTGGAATATCTCACTGAAAAAAGAGCCGCCGCGAAAAGCGACTTTGAGGCTCAATATTTCAAACAAAAAGGAAACGATATTTTTGGTTATTCCTTGAAATCATCGCGTCACCATGTGTCCGTGATCATGTGCAGAAATGAGGAAAAACTGGTAAAAATGGTGAAAAGTCCTTTTTTTCACAGTTTTGAAATATTTGGCCCCGACCTCATCGCGGTCCAAATGAAACAAAAGACTGTAAAGCTAAACTATCCAGTCAGTCTCGGAATGGCCATTTTGGACAAGAGTAAAATCTATGGTTACAAACTGTACGGCGAATTAAAAAAGCAATTGGGCCCCTCTGCACGCTTACTTTGCCACGACACTGATTGCTGGGGTTTCCATTACGAATCGGACGATTTTGTAAAGACGCAGAGAAGCATTGCACACATGATGGATTTTTCAAATTATCCCCGTGACCATGAGTTATACGACGAATCTAGGAAACGCATTCCTCTTTTCCTCAAGGATGAACACCCTGGGAGAATGGTGACGTCCTTTGTTGGTTTGCGTGCGAAAAACTATTGCCTCCAGTTTCCAGACGGCAAGCCCGTAAAGAAATGCAAGGGCGTGCAACGCAGCGCTGCAGAGAAAGGGCTCACATTTGAATGTTATAAAAAGTGCCTCATTGAAAATTATGAAAAATCCCTAGCTTTTTCTTATATTAGACAGGATGGTAAGCAAACCATTTACACGTGGGATACCGTCAAATGTGCATTGAGCAATTTTGACACAAAGCGGTATTTTTGTCCAGACGGCATTCACACCGTGCCTCACAACTATAGAGGCCCGCCTATCGGGGGGTTAGAGAGAGAGAGGGAGGGGGGAGAGGCGGAGGAAGAGGATGAAATGTAAAAATGTGTTAATGTACAGTACTGGTTCATATCTATAAGCGCATGATGTATAAAGTCAAAGTTAGAATAAGGTGACTGCCTCAAAAAATATACAAGATTTGCAAAATACGCGGTGAGTTTGCGTTTTCGAATGGCCATTGTGACTCAACTAATAATAATAATAATAATTACAATAGTTCTCTAAATTTTATTTGTAGGCGTGCGTGCAACCACATCTTCAGACGGCGTCCAGAACAACAAGAACACGGTCGACACGATCGTTCGAGGTAAACTTTAATATAATTTAAATGTACACATCTACACATAAAGAAAAAAAAATCGGCTTATATATAATGTTATTTCTCTCTCTCTTTTCAGCATTGCGCACATCACCGGCTAATGTATAAATGAATGAATGAATGAATGAATCGTTCCTTGTAAATATTATTTTTACTCTTACAATATTAAAAAAAGAAATCAATAAAATTATGTCTTTTACACCCGATTTTTCTATGGTACATATTCGGCTCCGTCCGACCGTCCCTGCCTCCCCCTCCTTCAGTAGATGTTCGTTCGCTCAGTACAATGGTCGCATTGTCATTGGCGCTCGCCCTCACCCTCCTGGCCGCGGGTGCCCTATGCGAGAATAAGACATGTGGTGATTTGTCATATCACACAAACTTATTCAGGTTGTATGTGTGTATAGACGAGCCCTCATACGAAAAGATGTACAAGACGTGGATGGAATTTTGCGATATTCTCGTACCAACGACCAATTATACATTTATCGATTTGCAATCGAATTGGGAGTCCTTCAGCGGGTATCGAGAAATAAAACCCCAGAGGCGGGACGAGGGCGCTTCAGTGTGCGACGTAGAGCCGAGCATAGTGGGTGCGGGAGCCGTATTGGGAGCATTGTGTTCGTCTTTGCTTTACGCGTGTGTGTACACTTTTCAAAAACATGGAAGAGTAATTTATCATGTCAGCAGAGTCCGTCGAGTTGCCCAGTGCACTCAAGTTTAAGTCGCCTTTTACCTGTTCCGTAATTGGTGGGAGCCAGTCGGGGAAAACTAGCTTGGTTTTAGATATTATAAGAAACCGTGAAAAATTGATTTCTGGCGAATTTTCCAAGTTTTATTGGGCGCTCCCCGAGGACTCGCCGATACCGAGCAAGGTGGCCACCCACGAGCCGGCGTTCAGTATAATCCGAGGCCCGCCCGACGACAGATCTCTGCAGGAAGATTCAGTCATTGTGATCGACGACCTCGGCTCACGGTGTCAATCTGAGGCCATCGCGCGTCTGTTTACCATTACGAGCCATCACCGGCGCGTGTCCGTGTTCCTCATTCTCCACAATTGTTTCCCGAAGGGGCCCTACAGCCGTGACATCGCCCTGAGCACCGTGTATTGTCTCCTGACCAAAAATCCACGAAGTCCGACATCCTTCCGGCACCTGGCGTCCCAATTGGTCGGCCGTGGAGTAAACAGCTTATATCAGTGCTACCTGCACGCCACAGAAGACCCCTACACCCACTTCCTCGTGGACAATTCGCAAACCTGTAGCCCTGCCTTGCGCTTTAGGAGCAACATTTTACCTAGCGCGACCGGCACAGAAATATATTGTACACCCGATCAACTCGAAAAACTAGTGGGCGATCAAAATAATACTTATGAGCGATTTACTGAAACGGAATAGCCACCTTTTCGCCCTCCTCTGTTCGGCGACGCCGGCCAGGCGGGCCGCTTTGTTGCGCACCCTCGGTAGGGAGGAGGTGCTCGCCTTATCCGAGGTCATTCTAAACTCGATCGCGGCCGACGGAGGGTGCCGTCTATCTACCGAATCAGCGAAAAAACTCGGACGGCATAAAAATAAACTGAGGGAGTTAGCGTTCAGAAAAAATAATTGGCGCCACAAAAAGAAGATTTACCAGCAAAAAGGGACCGGGGCGTGGTTGGTTCCAATACTCACGTCTGTACTGAGTCTAGCAGGAAACGTTTTCGCAAAATGAACGGTGCTTATCAAAAATATCTCGTTATATCGCCAGAACAATTAAAAAGGCTCCGTGGTGAGAAGCCTTTAATCAATAAACTCGATCAAGACAGAAAAGAGACGCTACAAGCAGCCACACGAGACAAGAGCAGTAACGATTTTTCCGCGTTTTTAAAATATCAACACGCGTTGCAGAAATATTTGAGCCACGCCACAGCCGAAGAGATCACCCCAGTCGAGCTATCACTAGGCGACCCCATCGCCGCAGCTGCCGCTACAGCTGCCGCCACCGCATCTACCGCGCCCGCCACCCCACCCAGTCCAGGAGTCGGCAATCGCACGAGAAAAACACGGACTCGCGAAACACAAACGACCCCCGCTGTACCGGTGAAAAAACTTAAAAAGAGGCAAACTCCTGCTAAAAAAAAGCAAACTCCCGGTAAAAAGAAGGAAAGCCCCGGGAAAAAGAGGGCATCTTTTACACCGTCCCCAAAAAATATATTTTCGTCGTGGTTAGACTATGGAGCTTGAAGATGAAGAAATATTGCGTTTATGGTCCGATCCGCAATCTGCCCCGGCTTTTGCCGGTAAAAAATATGTTATAGATTCCTTAAAATTGCTGTATCCAGATTATTCACGGCGGTACATAGACGAGCGCGTGCATCGCGTGCTTTCTCAGCACCCTGCGTATACCGTACACCACCCACGCAGAAAAAAATTCTCAACCCATTTTTACAATATCGCGAGCTATTTTCGGCTACTCGAAATAGATTTGATTGATGTTCAGTCGCTCCAAGCATCCAACGACGGCGTGCGTTATATTTTAATTTGCGTAGAGGCCGCTTCACGAAAGATTTATTTGGAACCCCTAAAAGATAAGTCGGCGTCCATTGTCACGAAAGCCATGGAAAAAATATTAGACAGAATAAAACCACGACAAGTAAAAGTGATTCGGCACGATTTAGGCCGGGAGTTTCAGAATTCTGTTTTCAAAAATATGTTAAAATCTCGCGGCATAGTGTCCCAGACGGCGGGGAACGAGAGCAAGTGTGCTATTGCCGAGAGAAACGTGGCAAAAGTGATGTCACGCATTTCGCGTTATTTGACTTTTACCAATTCGACGCGATTCATTGACGTGATGCAGAAAATAACAGATGGGTTAAATAGAACGCCGCACGCGCACACCGGCGTCGCGGCCGACGAGTTTGATCCGGACAAAGATCTTTATCGCGTGTGGGAAAAAACGGTGCTGAACCACAACAGAGAGTTTTCCAGACTCAGGAAAAAAGACTATAAATATTCGATCGGTGATAGAGTTCGCGTCAGTCTCTCGTTTAACCCGCTACACAAAGGGTACTCGGGGTATTTTTCTCAAGCGTATTACACTGTCGTCGCGCGCTACCGTGGCCCTCCCAAAACCTACTCGCTGCAGAATGTAGAGGGAGAGGACGTCGGTGGGCAATTTTACGAAGACGAATTACTGGGGGTGAGCGACTCACCGGACCAATCCTACCCAGTCGACAAGATACACGAGAAGAGAAGACGTCGCGGGTTGAAGGAAGTCCTCGTGTCATTCATCGGGTGGCCGAAAAACCACAAAGTTTGGATCCCCTCTGATAACGTGCGAAACACGGTATAAATGGCGTGGCATCACGGGGCCTCTCATGGGGCGAATTCGCGCGATGATTTTTATCTCCCGCTCCTGTCCGACTCGAGCGGACACATTTTCACGTCCTCTTACCCGAGCCGTTATATTTGGACGGTAAATACGACGTGGGTATTGCTGAATTAATGATAAACCCACCGCGCGGTGGAACCACGACGCCACCGCTGGAAGAGTCGTTAGTTGACGAGAATGCCCTGTCAGAGACGGGTGCGCGGAAGACGGCGTCCGCGCCGGCGTCGTCCGACGCAGGCAGGCCTCGGTCGACGGAAGCGTCGCTATGGGAGACCTGGGATTCAGACCCGTCGCCCGCCCCTGTGGCACCTTCGCCGATAAGTGATCCCGTTGCACCTGCAGATGTCATCGTGACCCCACTTATCCGTCAACCCACGCCCACGCCCAAATTTGAGAGCGCACCGGCAGCTGTGCCCGCCCCGGCAGCTGTGCCCGCACCGGCACCTGTGCCCGCACCGGCGCCCGCACCGGCACCTGTGCCCGCACCGGCACCTGTGCCCGCACCGGCAGCTGTCGCCGCACCGGCATCTTTGCCCGCACCGGCAGTTGTCGCCGCACCGGCATCTTTGCCCGCACCGGAGCGGAAGCCGCCGCCGCCGCCGCCGCCGCCGAGACCCGCCTTAACTATCGCACAGTTGACTGCTATACCAAGACACTCCTCTCTTGCCGGGTGGTTTAGTTTATTCAAAAAAGCGCTACGGGATAATGCCGGGGAGAGGGCGCGGCTCGAAACGGCATTGGCACACATGCCTCCCCCGGACTTGTATGAAAACTTTCTCACAGATGACGTAAATATATCTTCGATTCATGTCGTAGGTTTGGGTAGAATCGCGTTTCGTACCGTATCGACTGATAAACTCGATGATTGGGTAAGAACCGTAGCAGAATATTTAGACAATGAAGAACAATCTGCCATTTTCTATGAGGCGTGCGCAAATGAGTGGAGGGGAAAAAGTAGTGCCAGTAGGGGCGGGCGGGCAAAACGTTATTTCAACGATATTCTGGCACCCGCAAGGCTAAACGATATGCGATACCTATCTGACTCGAATAAACGACCAAAGCGTTCACTTGCGAGATTATTCATTTATACAGATATTGTCGCGAGCGAAACTCTGTCCGACGTTAAAAGTAAATGGTTGCGCATCGTCCACTTGAAACCGAATGAAAATCATTATATTTTCGATCACATTCAGTACCACCCAGTTCAAAATAACGTCATTCAAAGCGTGCAGGTTTCACTCAGAGATAAGTACGGTCTACCATTCCCCTTTGAAGATTCGGCGGAACCTTCGTGCATCGTCCTTAGGTTTGTGAGGCGCAGGTAGTCGTGAACCGTCGCTCGAGCGAGATGGTTGCATATCCGCGCAAAGAGGATTTTCTCCGCTTTTATGAGCAATCGGGGAGGGGAGGGGGAGGGGGAGGTGACGCGATCTATTATCGAAGCAGTGCACCGTGGCAAAGGGGGCGGGGAATTGGGCAATTTTTTAAAAATGCGTGGTCGTTTATAAGGCCCATCCTGTTTCGTGGGGCTAAAGAGGTGGGAAATCAACTGCTTAGCACAGGGGGGAAAATAATGCAGGATATGGCGGACCCCGCACTGAGAGAAAAACCACTTGAAACGGTCAAGTCCAGATCACGTCAGGGATGGGACGATTTTCGAAATAAAGTTCCGAAAATAATACAAGGAGGGGAAGGACGACGCCGCCGAGCCCGAGGCAGGCAAACTGGAAAAGGTCTGCGCCGTCCGCCCCGACAGACAGTAGCCGCTCGGCGCCCGCGAAGAACACACGTCCCTTCGCGCCCCGATATCTTTTAGCCGTCATGGAGCACTGCTTTCTGCCCTTTTTTGACTTTTTCAATGAGAGACCGCTGCAAGGATGCATACAATCCAAATTCAAGAAAAGGGCTCAGCCCGTCAACTCCATCACCGCATCCCCGACGAACATCCAATTTTATCTTCCCGGGCAACCCGGGGCTTTCCCAAAAGTGCAAGGGGCGAAACTCAAGATCACGATGAAAATGGTGAAGAGGGCGACCGGAGGCGATCTCGCCGAGGGGGACGTTAACACGGGCGTCGTCTGCAACTTGGCCGACTCGCTCTTCTCTCACGTCAACGTGTCTTTCAACGAAAAGGACGTCGTGCCCCATCCAGAACATTACGCATACAAGTGCATTTTTCAAGTTTATAGCCGGGCTACCAATCAAGCTCTTAAGACTAATTTGGAAAAATCTCTGTGCATTATTGATGAGGACGCGAGTGAGGCCGCGGATAACCCGGCGTGGACCGCCCGTCAAAAGCCATTTTTAGGTTCAAAGCATGTTCAGCTGATTACACGCATAAAGCAAGACATTTGCAATATTAAAGACAATATGCTTATTCTCGACAATGTGAGCATGCGGTTTACTTTTGAGCTAAATAAGGAATCTTTCTATTTATGGAGTAAAGACGCCGCTGCTGTGGGCACCCTGCAGATTGTGGACGCCGTGTTAATCATGCCCTATTATCGTGTCTCTCCCGAGTTGAATCTCGCCATAGACTCTATGCTTCAAAAAACCAATGCGAAATATTATTTTAAAAATACGCAAGTCAAAACGTTCGTGGTCCCGGCGAATTCGCCGCAAATAACGATAAATAACGGATTTTCGGGCTACTTGCCAACACTGCTATGGTTTTCGATCGTAAAAACTGCAGATTTTCAGGGTTTGAATACATCGTCATGCTTTAATTTCATTAATGCCGGTTTGAAAAGAATTTCATTATTTTTCAACAACGAGGAGCACAGATTTCTTACCGATTTTACCACACCTATGGGATACACGGAGGCGTACGATTCTGTCTCTAGTTCCCTGGGAATGGACGATGAGGAGATGGAAACGGGAAATCAATTTACTTTGAAACGGTATGCAAATGGCATGATGGCTATCGTCGCTGAATTTTCTCAAGACGATAGCGGTAATGCATCCGCTTCGATGAATCTGCCACAAGTAGGCAGCCTCTCCATTGAATGCGAATTGGCAAACCCACTAAACTATAGCATTACTGTGTTGGCCTTGGGTGAGTTTGACTCGTGTCTCGAGATCGACAGTGCGAGGCAACCCTACGTCCTGTAGAGATGCGGGGAATCGACCGTGCCCTAGCCACGTCCGACATTGTCGGAGCGTGCAGGACGCACCCGGCGCTGCGTCATATACATATCGGGACATTCCCGATCGATAAACTTCCGAGTCGGCGAATTGCAAAATTTCCCTTTCATTTATGTTTTAATCACGGGGAATCGAATACGGCCGGCTACCATTGGAGCGGGATTTATTGCGCTGAACCGGGGTCAATCGAATATGTAGATAGCCTCGCTGGAAAACCATCGAATCCGTACATTATCGATTTTCTTGTAAAAAATAAAATTAAGAAAATAAAATACAGTAAAACTAGATTACAAGACCAAACTTCTGTAAGTTGCGGCCACTTTGTATTATCTCATGCCCATTTTCGTTCCCGCGGTGTACAATTGCAAAAATGGGTGGAAATGTTTAGTTGTCTATCTTTTCGGCAAAGAGATGCCGCTGTACAATGCCACGTGCTAAAATATTTTATGCTTAAGGATGCATTTATTGTAAAAAACTCGAATAAAATGACATGTCTCCCACCATCTTTGTTTTCCCCTTCCAAGCGCCTGCGCAGATGTGAACAACGAGGGGTGGCTGCACGTGTGGGAGAGTTAGTTTTGCACTAACCAGCGAGCGCCATGGACGTGTCCGATTCGGCGCAGCAAACACTTGCAGAGTTCATATCGTGCTTCGATCCTGACCAGTTGATGCACTTTGCTGGAGGTGAGTTGGTTTCCCCAAAAAGTGATATTTCATTTTCGATTATTTTTTCCCTTTAAAAAAAAAAAAAACTTATGTGTGTGCGCGTGCGCGTTTGTGTGTGTTTGTAGATCAGGTAGCAATGATGCCTGTCGACACGACACCAACGGTGGCGGCGCCGACGCCGAAAAAAGAAAAGAAAAAGCGAGGGCGGCCACGACGCGAGGTTCCAGTACAAGACTTATTTGAAAATGCGTCCGATGTCTTCAAGCAACCGCCGCAACCACCACAACATCAACATCCGCATCAAGCACCCAAGGTGGACGCAAAGATGATGACATGTCATGAATGGCAACATGCCCTGTACAGTATTCTGAAAGCTCTACGACAAATGCATAATTGTAAGATGAAATGATTGTAATATTATTTCGTGTGTGTGTGTGTGTGTGAAAAATCAATAAAAAAGGGGGTTTTTACCTTCACAAATTGTGTTGTTATTTCTTTGCCTTCATAAATCGCTGTATCTGAGTGTGTATGGGTGTGTAGGGAAGGGGCGGGGGGGGAGAAAGGGGGGGAAGACACTCCTCTCTTGCCGGGTGGTTTAGTTTATTCAAAAAAGCGCTACGGGATAATGCCGGGGAGAGGGCGCGACTCGAAACGGCATTGGCAC